TAAAAGATTACGGCTTAGCAATGAGAAATTGAGAAATTGTTGGAAAGGAGTAAAGATTTCGAAGGCGGATAAGCATGGTTACCAAAATTTTAAATAAACACATCTTCAAAAGGCAATACTTTTACTAGCTATAATTACGCGCAAATTAGAGAGAAAGGGCTAAACCCGAACAATTGTGTCTATTCATTAGTCAAGAACGTATCGCCTCGTATGAGTGCTATTTCAAAAGGATTACAAATTAAAACGATTAATGGAAGAAATTTTTTTTTAAATCTTTTTTACGATCTGTTATTCTAAAATTTATATTATTAGACTGAAAAGTATAGTGGAAATACGCGCAACGAATTTGACCATTTAGCATCAATAGGAAAAAGAAGACATTATTTCATCGGAAATGTTGTATATTTGTTAGCAGCAGCGTCATGCAATGCATTCAATCCTTAGAAGTCCTTAGAAACCCGTAAAGCACTGAGTTGCAACGCGAAAACTGATGCCTACATCATTTTCAATCTCCTAAAAAAATTATTATAAAACATCCAATATCGTAAAATTTCTAATGACCTTTATTTATAAGAAAAGACCTTCAAAATTCTGTAGTCGATCTTCCTCTAATTGTTTCAGTTTTCGAAATGCCGATAACGTATGCGTTTTTCTACCAAATCCCCAAACTTTCTACCTTTTAATCCCCTTTTTGGCCGAATTGGCACAACTGCGAATATAAAGATAGAAAGATAAAATTTGACACAAACATTCCTCAATCGGTAAAGAATAAAAGATTAAAACTAGGAGTTAATATGTTTATAGACACGCTCACAATATAAAAGGAATTGAAACAAGCTTCGAAAAGCATCTATATTTTTTTTATATATTTTTGTCTATAATTTTTTGTAACCCCTTGAAGATATTTCCGCAGACTTCATCAAGATCACCTTGACGTTCAATTTAAAAATCGTTCCAATACCTGATCTGTATGAATGACTCGGCTATCCTATGTGAACAATATACAGACAACATAACAATTGACATTGTATAATATTTTGAAAAATCTCTGTTTTCTTATTATAATTAAGAAATACGCTTGCAATATTGCCCAAATATTTATTGAACCAATTAGACCATTTGATAAATTGATTAAGGTAACTTTTGTAATGCCTTGGTACCACACGTCTCGATACGTTGTTAACTACTTCGACCTTAATGTGATGATTGAAAACTCGTCAAAAAAACGTTAATAGTGTTTGGCCTAAATCAATCAAATATTTAAATACATTATTTTAAATTAAAGACCATTTTGTTTATTTATATGTAAATTGCATATATATATATATAGGTATGTATACATATAACAATTGCAAATTATTTTGTTCATTAAGGGCGAGTAAGTCAGACGATTAACTTTCACTTTAGATAGCTTTATTAAAGAAGCAAAGTTTAGATAGGGAGTGGTAACTCCCTATTATGGAGCTGTTGCAAGCGGGTCAAGAATCTTTTAAATTTCAACCACAGTCGTCAACCAAATTATGAATGACTATTACTTCCCCTTATAATAATAATGACGTACATGTCATAGGTTTTCTAATGAATACTTCTGGGTATTCGAGCGCGTAATCGAACACCCTTATATATCGGCATAGAGAATCAAATTTATTTCATGTCTTAACAATCATTGATTTCAACTAAACACATAATTAATAATCAGCAAAGTAACCCTGACAAAACGAAATATTTCGCAAAGGGATGCTGCTGTCTATCCCATTTGGCATGCTTTACTATCCCATTCTAAACGTAGATAATTTCTTAACTCATAAAAACTCCCTCCCCCCTATACACGTAATGCACGTTCATGGATTTGCAGGCGTTGCCTTTGGATTCTTTCAAAAGGCAAATTAGATTTTCTAAATTTATTTTTCTTTTTCTTTAGTTGCGAAACAGGTTCGCGCAAGTGTATGCAACATCCAAAAGGATTTGCGATACCGGTCGCTGCAGAATCACTTTCTAAATTGATTGAAGTCTACCTACCCATCCGTCTATCTAAAGTTTGTCTAAATGTTTTTTGTGTCAGGCCGCAATTCTGGAGATATTATAACGCAATTTGATACAAGGACGGGTTTTCGCCTAAGGCCGAAAACTGTTGAAAATGGTTCGGATCGGACCACTTTTTCGACCACGTCCCATATACTGCCTTGTGTAAATAATTGTAGGATGATGTAGGGTATTTAATAATGGGTCGTGGCTCACTAATGGTGTTTTCACTTCTTTTTTCTTCGTCTTTCTTTTCAAAATCCCATGGAATCTTTGTGAATGATATGTGCGTTTAAAATTGAAACCAATTATGTGTGATATCCGCTTTCAGCACACTTCGGCACGTTAAAAAAGTATACAATTACATATGTTTAAATAGAACTTTTTTCAGCTCATTTAATGCGATTTGAAAAAGTTATATGTTATAGAAGCGTTTCAAAAAAAATTTTTTTTTGCAAAATTGTACCAAGGAAGGAAAAAAATAAGTAAATATCGTTCTTTCCTAAAAGTGATCCTAGAAGGAAGGGAAAGCCTTCATAAAAACATATTCGGATGCTTTCGTCGAACAATAACAATTTAGGCGGTTGTAATACTTATAAAGGCCTTATTCACAATACTTGATTGCAAGATAAAACGCAGATGTCAAAACTGCTGATTGAAACTGCTTCCAGTTCTGAACCATGTTCAATGAATTTCCTTAATACACGATTTCTCGAGATTTCAACAACCAGAGGGCAAGGGAAAGGCACATTAGAAGATAATAACATCTTGCATTCATTCAAAATGCTTGCTTCTCGAGAATATGTTTAAAAAATTTTTATTACCATTATATTCAATTTAAGCTGAGAAATAAATTCGAAGACTAAAATCTTCAAGTAGCAGCATCTAAGGCTATCGGGTTTAGTGAACATTCCATTGCACTTGAGATTTGAACCCACGATAATTCAGTTGTAAGCCGAGGCTCTTTGCCTGCTCGGCCACTCAGCCGGATCAGCTGTTTGAAAGTAAACAATTTTGTTCGCAATTTATTTTATTTTCAATTTACAGATGTTTTCTCTCATAAATGCAACTCTAAAGAACTAATACTAGTGCAAAGCTTCACCAATTTTGCTGCCGGCGATTTTGACAATAGTTGAGAGCGTGTTTTTCGCACATCTTCCGCTTTATGATAAAAAGCTCAAAGCTTGAAAATGAAACCTAGCTAATGCCATATACAACCAGGGCCAAGACTATATCCGAATTATTACTTTATTACATTGCGTCTGCATAAGCAACCAAATAAACTGAACCAAGCCTGCAAAGGCAATTAGTGCAATTTTTGTATATTTTTTGTTAATAATTTCTTCTTTAGTAATTTATTATAGACAAGACTAAGTGATAGAAAACTTAATCCATTTATTACATTAATTCTTATATTTGCATTTTCAATTATATTGATTAGAATTAGTTGACAGAATTAGTTAGCAGTTAATTATTTATTTCCAAAATGTTCAAAATGTTAATTCAATGTTTAAAAATTAATTTTTTATAAATTAATTCATTTTTTAATTTAGTTTAATATAATTGAATAAATAATTTTTTATAATTAATTTAATATGCTTAAAATGCATACATATAAAAATAATAAAATAAATAATAATTTGTGTACAAGAACGAAAAAGTAAAAGTGAATATATGTGAAGAGAAGAAATTTCACTCCCAGAAAATTTAACAACATCTTTAATAGGAAATGTACAGGAAAGTAAAATTTGTTCTCAGAAAGAAGATTTTACTCTCAGTAAAGTCAAAGTCTTAATTTTAATTTCTCCACGTAACCCTGTGCCATAATATAAAAGAGTGAAACAATTTTCGCGCTTTTATTTGCTTGTAATTAATCGATAAAATATTGCACATTATATAAGATAACAGAAACTGACTGATATATCAAATTTTACAAACGTAACGATTCGGTTTTTTAGGGGAAAAAGCCCTAAATGGTAAACGTAATGGGAAGTCGCGTCATAATATTAATTGATAGGAAAAAATGCGGAAGTAAATGAAAATTGGACTGGTTTGCCTTTGCTTTGTTTGATAGCTGCCGGTTCCTGACCGCGCGCAACATCTGTCAAATACCTTCTCTCGCATTTGTCAAATTACGCGTAAAGTAAATAGCTCACATTTTGCGTTAGCGTTGGCTGCTTTAAGTTAGTCTTGCTTGTTTAGAGTTGCATTGATATGAGAGAACACTGTAAATAACATCCAAAGAAAATTGTTTTACGAAAAATTTTTTATCATTATATTGGTTTCGTCACGTACGAAAACTAATTTTTAGACACGTGATTACCCTGTAGAATATGTTCTGCAGTGTTGAGTACTTGCCAGTCTTTTTTTTTTCTTTCTTTTTAATCCAGCAGTATTTACATATTTACATATATATAATCCAGTGATCTTGGAATTGTACTGATGTTATTCTATTTCCAATGTCAGAATTATTTGTAACCACAATAGCCATTATCAAACTTATATATATAGTCGTTCTTTCTCGTCATTAAATTTAATCTAACTTAATTTCAAATAATTCGCTTATTCATTTTTAAAAGAATTTTGCAATCATATTTTATTTATTTATTTATTTATTTATTTTTTTTTGACTTTTCTGCAACTAATTCATATATTGAAATGAAATGTTTTTATTTATAATTTATATACATTTTTCCTATTTTAACTCGCTGCCTATAACTAACTAATGGCTAAACGCTGAGAGTATTGTTCTCTTCTTTTTTTTAATGATGAGTTGGCAACATTGCGTTGGCTTTAGTTGAGTGTGTGAGTGTCTGAATGAAAATAAAAGTACGGATTAAATGTGAAATAATAAATAAATTACGTACACACGTTGAGAAAATTAAAGATTAATAAGTAAAAAAATGAAAATTTAAGATCAAGTGTTTTTTTCTATTTTTTTTTGTTTCGTTTCGTTTCGTTTTTTTTTGGTTTTTTTTTTTTTTTTATAATTAACTCAAGTAATATTAATAATGACAAATATAATGTTAATACTCCCTCTAACCGGTGTTTAGCAATGAAAATCATTATTGAATTTTTTTTTAGTTTTGTGCAACTCTATTAAAAAACTATAAATCATTTAAAAGTTCATGAATTTGTACTAAATTGTTGTATATGTTAATTAAAAGGAGAAGAATAAAACAATTCTCTCTAACATAATAGAAAACGTATTATATATGTATCTAATATTGTTTTTATACTTACTTCATCATTTCGTCAGCTGGTCGCGTATATGTGTTCCTAAATTGCATGACATAATTCTTTGAACCAATTCAAAAGTGTTTTGCATTAGAAAATAAAACCCTTTTTGGCTAAGTGCAACCCCCCCGCTCCGCACATTCTTTTTTCCGTCCGCATCTTCTGTTTCTTTAAACTGTTTGTAATAAAAACAAAAAAGGTCATGCGACCCGAAAGATTGCTTTATGAATATATATGTATATGTGTGCATATTGAAATTCTGTTTTGAAATAATTATCTATTGTTTTCTTGGGAGAATTTCTATAATATATAGATAGATGACTGTCCTACTACTGATACACTCTTCGTCCTCCTCTTAATCTATAAATTAAAAAGTGAGTTTAGTGTTTTTGTTATTGCTTTAAATAAATTTTTACAATTTTGGTATGTTAAGCAAAAAAAAAAAAAAAAGAAAATGTTTTTGTTTAAAAAAAGATACTACTTTAATAAGATGGCCTTCCTTTTCTCTATCAGTCCGATGTTATCATTATATTAAGAGGATTTTCCTAAAATAATAAGCAAATTTAAAAGTAAAGACACTAGAGTAAGCCACGGCTCGCCATTAAACACTCTACAGTTACTCACATTACGATTTTTCAGATCCGCCTGAGTGGCCGAGTAGGCAAGAGTCTCGACTAGTAACTCAATAGTCGTGGGTTCAAACCTCAAGTGCAGTAGAATTTTTAATAAAAAGCCGATAGCCCTAGATGCTAGTGCTTCAAGACTTTAGTCTTAGAATTTATTCTCTGGCTAAATTTATAATAATAATAATAATAATAATAATACGATTTTTCAAAATAAAGCATTAAATGGGAAGCGATCAAAAAGATGGTCCCTGATACGAACCATTTTCAATAGCTTTGGGCCAAAACATGTGGTTAAGACATCTCGAAAAGTGCCACCCAGGCAGACGTCAGACAGACGGACGGACCGAAAAGTTTAAAGTGATTCTGGATCGATCGGTATAATAAAAGGTGAGTCTATCTCTAAGTGCTGCATACATCAGCACCATATAACAGATGGTGGAGAATATGAGAACAGAGAAAACCAATGGATCTTGAATGTTGTATGTCATTTCGAGAATGCATTGCTTGCAAGTTAATTATCTAATGGGACCATTGAACTTGTACGTGGCCGCAATGTATGTTTATGTTACAGTAACTTAAAATTTTGTACTCGCATTCAATTTCGGCCGTCAAACAAACATTAAATAAGTGCAGAATTCTAGCCCTTAATAAGAAGAAATGAAGGCTAAGGCGAGGACGTTGCTTAGTAGCCCTTATTTTGATTTTGATTTATATTCATTTGAGAATTCTGGCAAACAAGATCATAAAATCCTTAAAATCATTTTTATATTTTATCAGATTTTCACGACGAAGACTGTAACTATATTTTATGTAAACAGTAAAAATAGTATACGCACAGTTCGATCAAGAAGGCAAAAGCTATCAAGAAAGTTCGCCTTAGAGCGAATATGATCACCTATGACTAATAAATAAAAATTGCAATGTATTTTTAAAATCGTAGGCATACTATTCATGCGTAACCAATTTTGCAATAGGCTTTCGGATGATTCTGTGAAATATATATATATATATATATATATATATATATGCAATAAAGCGTGAATAAGTAACATTTTTAGTCAAGGATCTACGGAACAAAAGTAAATGTAATAAGAAGAGATATCTTGTAGGGAAAATATGTCGAATTGGATTATTAAATGAAAATCTTCAAAAATACCGACAGTATCGAAAATAAACCGCAAACTAAACGCTGACAAAACAAACTAACTCTCTAAGCTAAACGTTAGCAAATTTCTTAGCAGAGCTAACAACCAACACCATAATGTTAGTATTCCGCATTTAATTAAATATATTTTTAAAATCATTAATAGGTTTACTTTTCCAAATTGAACTGTTGGTTAGTAAGTCTTCCTACCTATCATTTACTTAAATCAATCCCCGTTTTACCCCAATTTGTCCTTGACAGCAACTAATTGAAACCATTTGTCTGAATTTGAATTGAAACGCGTCTGAATTTTGAAAATCTCCCCACTCTCTCTCTCTCTCTCTCTCTCTCTCTCTCTCTCTCTCTGTCTCTCACTAAGAAATACGTGCAAATGCATCTCATGACAAACAGCCGTTAAAAGCGAAATAGCAAGAGTAGAGAAAAGATACGTCTGTCAATTAGTTTATCTTATCTTCATAATTACTGCAAATACAATCGAAAATTCAGTTTGTACAGTAAATAGATTGTTTCTCTTATAATATTTTAAAATTATATCTTAACGTTTAAAACAATAGGGTCACAGAGAAAGGGAGAGAGAAAGGTATTAAAACTGAAAAAAAAAAAAAAAAAAAAAATCCTCAGCAAAACTTTTATTTTCACATAAGTCGTACAAATAATGTTAAAAATACGATGACAATCTAATAGTTTCTACCCCACTGTACATTTGAGAGACCTAACTAAGTTGCTTAATGCACCTCTAACACCGCGTAGTGGTTGTCTTTAGTTTTTTGTCATCTCATAGTCTAGAATTAGAAAATGAGTTGATATCTGAAAATGAATAGTAAGTAATCCCTACTGAAACGAACTATTTACAGCAACTATAACATAATCATTCTGGGATCTGGTTTATGGTTCTCGATATCGATTGAAAGATTTTTCATTCGACAGCAAAACCAATTAAAAATACTAGAATGGGCCAAGCTCTACCTTTAAATATAACTACATCATCTTGCAGTTATTCATGTAACGACTTTTCAGAATTAAGCTTCGTAAGAAGAGTGATCGAAAAAATTGACTGAAACGAATCGTCTTCAATAGATTTAGCGCTTGGACCTAAATATGTAAGTGCTTTTTCTCGAAATTTGCGGCCTGTAGAATAGTACAAGAAAACAAAATAGACAGATGGACAGACGATTGAGAAAGTAATCTTCAATCGATCGGTATAATCAAAAGGTGGATCTATCTCATATCCTTGTGGGATCTGCATATATCCCCACATATTTAGTACACCCTTGTATCTCAGAACGCCTATCGTAAACCCTCTACTTGTTACAGTGGGCCAATAATCCAGAGCTATAGAGTTTACGCGATCGAGATCTCATATAATGTATATAAATATACCCTTTCCACATATGACGCATGGAAGATATGAAAATAAAATTTCCGACCACTCGATTGATATGCCCACTATTGAAAAATTTCCAATTCGTATGTATTGCTTTGTTTCATTCTCCTGAGCTGTAATCAGTGAATCACAGAAGTATATCTGGCAAGAATTAACGCTTAGATTCTCAACAATTCAATTTCGGTTAACGCGAGTATATCAGAAGCCTTTCTTTTCAATCGCGCTGGATATGATGGCGTCACCCTTTATATGAAAATATATGATACGGATATTGAGAGATATCGTGGCGTCTGTGCGATGTTTTGAATTAATACTAGATAATTCCAGAACTTATCTGTGATTGCGCAAAACGTCATGGAATATCTGCAATATAAAAACATAAATTAATAGTTATGCGATTTGCCCGAGTATGTTTAAAAAATAACGGAAATTTTTATTTAAAAAAACACACGTCATTGCACTAACTTATTAACTAAGAGTTCTAAGCGATATTAAATTCTGTAGAAGAAAAATCCTTTACACAAATCAATTGAAAATATTGATAAAGTTTTATAATGATGAAACCGTAGCATAATCAAAGGAATACAAGCGGTGCATAAACGGTGAGCAAAATCAACTCAAAGCGAATCAATATCATGCTGACCGTTTTCTTCGATTGTTGGGCTAACGTTCATACAGAGAGCTTTCCGTTGGATGAAATATTTTTAAAGAAATATAAACAATGTTAACAATCAAGACTACTTAGATGTGATTAACGACAAGACTCACATGTAAATCTTTCACTTTCACGGTAATTGTTTACTTAAAAAACTCTCTATCTCATGGCAACTCATTATGAAAATTAAAATAGTAAAAATCGTAATAGAAGGAATCATATAGCAGTCTATAACATCACGATCTTGTCAACTTCAAATAAAATTAGATTACCGTTTAACCTAGTAATGAGATATATATTCGTTTTGAAGAACACGAGAATCTAAAAATTTACTTTAGTAGATCGGTTCGTAATTATCATTTTTTCATTCATTAAGTTACCAATATATTGCCTCGATCATTTTAGGTAAATATTGTTAAAGCTTATAACTTTTTACTGAAATATTTTCGAAACTTTACATTTTGTTGTCATATCTTACATCACTTGCAGTGCAATGGTATATTAAGTTTGGATGGATGTCTGCAACACCAGATACATTTTTTAATTATAATGAATCGATTCAGAATCATTTGCGGGGCTGTGCGAGCACAAAACTGTTTCTACTTGTGTCACATACACTCGTCTGCTGCCAATAATGAGATTAACTAAGTATTTTTTACTGGGAAAAAATTGTACTTGTTATTTCGTTATAATTGCATTTGACTAATTAATTTACTTTGTTTTTTTTTTGACTGTTTTTTTTTTTATTATTTTTATTTTTTTTTTAGTTTATAAATCTTGCACCTTTTCATATATAAATACATACTAAGTTTTTGGACACTAAGTGTTAATGAGCAAAATAAAAGATGTAAGGATACTATAGTCGGATAGGGCCGACCATTAGGTAATCTACACCACTTCGCCTAACACAAATATTTATACAACAGAAATTATACATTATTTTCATATAAAAGCATAATTTTCATGAAATCCCTAAAATCGGAGGATGCTCAAAACGTCAAATTGAGCAAAGTTAATTTACTTGTCAAAGATTGCATTATAAAGCCTTTTTCTTTTTTTTTTTTTTTTTTGTTTGAATCCTTATGAGCATTGGAATCCAAATAATAGACCTACGAATGCAGAATTACTATTACTAAGTGATTTCTATAACAGGTAAAAGCGTAGACCCGGGAGCATATTTTTAATGTCATTGAATGGCCATGTCTCTCACTTCCTAGCTCAATCGTATTAAGAACCTTTGGTGACGAACTATAGCGTCAAGTTTCTTATAGCATTAGAATATAATTGTAAAAAACTATTCAAAACCTATTATATAATGCCGCAGTATAGACCTGCCGTAACTTAATTTCATTCATGTCTGAAAGAATCGGATCTCTGCTTAAAAACAATAATATACATATATACATACACGATATGTATATATATATATTATACACGCACCTACATACACAGCCATATGAATATATACACATATACATATGTATGTGTTGATGTTGATTATGAAAAAATAATCAGCGTTTATGCAATTTAACAGTTTCCCAACGTAAGAATAAGTTAAATACAATCGTATGTGACTTCCATATGTATATAATTTTTATAGATCCAATCTATTATTATTATTATTATTACACTATAATTTATTTAGACCGAAGAAATAATTTGCGGGATTAAAAGTGAGATGAGAACTGGCAATTAAGGCTTATTTATAATATGAATATAAAATGTTATAAATAATTTGAAAAAGAATTTCAAAATTATTTATTAAATTTAGTTTTTTTTCAATCCCTTTAGAATAATTCAAGCGATTTAGCGGCCCAACCTTATTCAATTTTTTTCAATTATTTTCTTTTAAGAGAGTAGTAACGTCGCACTACTTATGTCATTTTCTTATACTTACAGCTTTTATTCTCTTTATGCTGATTTTATATTATAAAACTTATGTCATGCAATGTATTTTCCTATCAAGCGGCAGTCTGGCCATTTAAATATGTTTAGTAATAAAGAAGATTTTCAGGCGTAAACAATTCATTTATAGTTAGAAAAATTGCACATTATAGAAAAGTAAAGCGTCACAAAACTAAACACAAAAAAAAGAAAAAAAACGGTAAAAAACGTATTATTGAGAATCCTTTTAATAAACTTCATTTAAAATGTTTGATATTTTTTTTTTTTTTTTTTTTAGAAATTAAAGAAATTGTTTTTTGTATACGTTAAGAAATGTTAAGAAAATAAGAGCAAGAAAAACACCAACAAAAAAAACAAAAACAAAAAGTTGTTCTTCCTACACATCCCTGATTATTAAAACGGCAACAGTTGTGTTAACAGCTGTTTAGTTTAAATAAATAAATAAAATTCGACAATAATAAAAAGCAAAATTTCGTTTATTATTTTAACCTTAAATTATCTTAACTGCACAACTGTTTCGCTTAACCTATCAAAAAATAAAAAAAAAAATAAAAAAAAAAATAAGAAAATAAATAAAAAATACTTCCAAATAATATGGTCACAAAGCAATTTAAACAACAATTGCGTGGCACACGTTGTTATGTTTCGTTGGCCTGTTCAATCGGTTCAATTAGTTTGGCATGCGGCAGTTTTCTACAAATACCTAATACCACCGATCGCATTTCATTGCAACGTGGCCTTTTCCTAACGTCCTTGGGTTTCATTTACTTTATTTCATTAACTGATTTTTGCAATAAATATCTGCTGGATACCAAACATGGTGTGAAATTTCGCAAAAAATACCGCCTTATGATGTCAGACGTCATGGATATGACCAATAAGTGAGTAAATTATATATATGTATAAGTATAAGCTTTCATGTTTGCATATTTGTAGGTATATATGTGCGTGTGTGTGTGTGTGTGTCTGTGTAAGTGTGTAATTTGATTTTAATTAACGATGATGGCAGTTGCCCTTTGATTGAGAAATGCCGCACAGGATAGCATTTGAAATTTTATTTTCAATTCAATTTTATTAAAATTTAAATATTCTTAATGCGTACAATATTTATTTTTCCGCGCTACAAACAGTAAATATGATTCCTTTGGGGCGAGCAATGTCCATAGGATCAGGATATATTAGAAATTTTTCCACTTCGTCTGTAATTTTTCAAACAAAAAAACAAAAAAACAAATTTCTTTGTATATATATGATGCCTCATATGCCCGTCGTCTGTCTTCACAATTTTGAAATTTTTGAAATCCATTACATATATTTTACGAAAATTTCATATATATCATTTAAAAAAGAAACAATGTGGACTTGGTCTACCAGAAAATGTACACAATATTGTGAAACAATTAAAATACTCTCAGTGGAAATCAATGTCTATGAGGGCAAATTGACTATTGAAATGGAATGAATGAATACGTGAACACATGAATGATGAATAATGACATCATGTGGCATTGGCGTAATACTTTCCAATCTATGTAATAACTAAGCCCTTAAAGCTTGCAATCTACACCAAAAATCGATTCAAAATTTGGCACAAATATTGTATTACAAATATACAACAAAAATACATAAATGATGTGTGATGTGAAAATAAAAAAAAATAAAATAATAACGCGGATAATGCATGAAAAAATGCATGCCCAGGATTCTTCGTAAAGCAATTGCAAGTTTTTCTTCTTTTTTCTCTCTCTCTCTCTCTCTCTCTCTCTCTGTCTCTCTCTCTCTCTCTCTCTCTCTCTCTCTTTTTGAGCTTCTTATCCCTATAAATCCCGATGGAAGTCATTTTTTTTAAACACATACAAAATATAATTAACCTTAAATTATTTTCCCTTATGACAGATATATATCTGAAAATATATATTGTTGAAAATACTATTGGAAGTTTAGTTTTTATACGCTACACCATTTGTGGTGGATTACAAGAGGTTGGTGCCAGAAGGACTTGAAAATAATCTTACCTCTTTTATTATACTGATCGTACCGAATTGATTGATTTATACAACATCCAGAGCGCCTTGAGATATATCCACCTTTTATTATATCAATTGTTTCGGAAAGAATTTCTGAATCGATTTACACAACACCCAGAATGACTTGAGATAAACTCATCCTTTTAAACTTGTCTATCTGTCCGTCCGTCTGTCCGCTTGTGCGTCTTGTTTTATTATGTTTAACCTGCGGATCGCAAATTTTGAGATATTTTAATGACATTTACTACATTGAAGTGCTTTAGCCCAAGGGCCTATCCGATTGAAAATGGTTGGGATTGGACCACTTCTCACTATAACGCATTATTTTGAAAACTCTTTATATGATTAACTACATTAAACGAAGTAGTGCCAGGTTTTTAATGATGGGTCGTGGCCAATATAAGGTTTTCACTCGTTTAATACAGGAGCTCACTTTTGGTTAATACAGGAGCATTGGAAGGTAGACAATTTACATTCTTAATCTTTAACGAAAAGGATCATATGATAATTTTTGCGATTAACTTGTTATCTGGAAAAAAATTGAAAAGTTTGTGTTATGGCGAATATATACATAACCATGGTCCTTGCCGGATTCCCTCATTATATGTTATCATCACAAATGTGTTTTTGCCATAAGAATGTATTTTAAAATGTGTGTATATCAGTTTGTCCAGTTAGTTCCTTACAAAATAATTTCGTATTACGCATACTCTCTGTATGATGACTATACTCGTCAACGCTAAATGTTTGTGATACATTTTAAATGTAAATTTTCCAAAGATGTCGACACAGTTAACTGGTTAAAAGCGTCACATTATTCTAATCAAGAAGACATACAGTTTGTAGGGTTCGCGATGCATATTTCGGAAGGCGACTAATGTGTTCGATTACATTTTCTTATGGAATGACGATTTTTTAATAATAAGACCGAAAGGAATTGTAAAAGGTCCAAAAGGTTCCAAACGTTTGCAAGCGTCCTTTTCCTGGGGGACATTTCTTCAAGTTGAGAATATCATGGAAAGGGAGTTTGAAGACGCCATAGATTTTGCTTTTGTCGACTTAATGGAAAATCATTTTGCGATTTATCAATATCCGCGATCGAGTGGGTAAAAACTGCAACTATGAAGTCAATGTTCGCGGTTTCAAATCTCAAGGCGATAGGTCTCGTTTTCGTCATAGTTATAGCGAACTGGCTGTTGATAAAGACGTAACAGTTAGCGGTTTGGCACGCACTCATTAGACTGCGACCACTGTATGCCTATTTCTTTCGTTTTTTCTTTTTCCTAGCTTCTTTCTGACCTCTGCCGCGTTACCTGTGAGATTGGATATCAACAAAAAAGAAAAAAGGAAATGTGTATGTCATCATCAAAAGTCCAATACACTGCAATAATGTTCGGCAATATTCTCTTTTCTTATTTATTATTATTATGTGTTTTCTTCTTTTTTTTTTTTGAAATAATCGATAAATATTAAGCCAGAGACGATATCAAGTCTCTAGACTTTTGCGAGCCAATTTTGTTATTTCATAAAAAGAAGTTTAAAATTGCTTAACGTTTTCTTAAACAGTGCTACAATTTTTTATTTCTTGTTTGATTGTTGGGATACTTATGGTACCATTTGGTTTCATCCGCTCTTGTTGCCAGTTATTTGCAATGATTCATTAAGAAAACATCATACAATGTTATCAAGTTGATAAATAAATATTAAGTACCCTACACACAACTATGCCCAATCCATTTTTAAAACCTATATATTTATATATATATATATATATATCTTTTTAATAAAATATAAAATTTTATAACTTGTTGGCATATAAAGCCACTTTTGCTGAGAATTTTTATATAAGAAGTTTGGGATCGAAAGAAATATATAGCCACATTTTTCAAGCTTACCTTACTAAATTTATATATGAAATGTTCCACATTGGGGACAAATTTTGATTACAAAATATTTAAAATTCAATGTTCTCGTTATTATATTATGGTACAAGGATATATTTAGTTTTTGCGGGCGTATGCAACACCCAGATAAATGTCACGTAGACGAAACTTTTATTATACCGATCGATTTTAAGTTTCTGTCTGCCCGTCTGGCCATTCTATTTTCTTGTGCTCAACGTACAGGACGTAATATTTGAAACATTTTCATGCAATTTTATACACTGATGTGTTTTCGCCCACGACTAAACACTATGAAAAATGATTCGGATGGGATCACTATTTTGCCCACTTCTCAAATTGAACTGTTATCAGGCAGATAGGTGAGTAAACCCACTTATATGAATTTAAAAAGTGATACTTAACATTAACTAGGTTTAATAAAAGATGAATTTATTGCAAGTCGGCTTTTACATACATACATATAAATTTAATACATCGCTGTACTATAAATAGTTATGCCGGGTATTAAAAAAAGATAATAACAATAATGACAATAACCATAATGATATCGTTACATATTGAAAAGTGTTTTACTCAAATTCTTAAAATAGAAACAAATGTTTTTTAACGTTTAATAAAGTGTTAAACACTCTTAGTATTCATTACAAAGATCGTTTATTCAAATATTTATCAATAATACAAGGTACAGAATAAACAATTTGTCAATCGTTTCAAGTACCCTTTTTATTATAAGCTTTTTTAAAACTTAAAGCATTTGACGTTCCATTTCAAACAGGGAGATACAGATATACTCTCTAATAGATATAGGATTTATATAATTAAAGGTTCAAATTATAATGTTTTAGTAATTTCGTACCAACGGATCTAGTACGTTTTATGATTTTTGAAGTTAAGCTGACGAGTCTCAATAAGCGACTGTTTAAATAGAGGCAGCTTTTCATGAACAAAATTTGAAACTAGTGATCATTAAAATAGATAGTCCAAGCCAGGCTTAGTTGCTTTTGGTAATCTGTTTGATGCAGAATCTATCTAGCATATGTTGTGGCGTCTAAACTTCATACACATCTTTCAGTTTTTATTCGTGATGATAAATTATTTTCGAATTTTTATGTCACAACATGCGATGCAAGAGTAATTGCCTTGCGTTTTATGAACTATCCATTCATCCGTAAACATTGAAACTGGGAATAAATAATTTGTTAGTTGTTAAAGGTTCTAAGTTTACGAGATACATTTTCCTCGAATATCGCCTATGTATCTTCTGTATAACAATTTTCAAGTCCTTTTCCCTTGTAATCATTTTTAAACCATTTAAACAAAAGTTAAGTTAACTAACTAAATAAATAAATAAATAATAAAAAATTTTTTTTTCTTTTTTAGCACTTAAAATCGTGAAATTCTTAGTAGATTATAAAATGTATATAAATTACCGAGTTTTGCAGTTTTTTTAAAAGAAAGCTTTATTTGTTATTTTTTTTTTGCATAATTTTTTTTAAATTTAATTAGAGTTTCACCTGTAAATTTATTACAAAGCATATAAGATAATATATCGCCAACAAGAAATTTTTACTAAAAAAAAAAAAGAAAAAAGTCCCTTCAAATATTCGAAAAGAAAGAATTCTAAGGAAATGCAATATTCCGACATTGTTATCGTCGTCCAAAATTGAAAAAATGACAGTCGTCTGACAACTGCATTCTTAGAGCTTCTTTAATGGAAACTTTAATACACTCTGTCTTCTGGCGGTGGGTCTCTTTGGTGCAAACGATTTTAAACCGTTCATGTCCATTTTGATAGGCTCGTAATAGCGTATGGGGAAGTTATGGCTTTCTCCGAAAGGAGATTCGGGCCGTCCGATGATGCCAACCGTGTTGTCTTTGTTAAGATTTTCCAAAAGTTTTCTTAACTCATTTGAGCTTTGAAATGTTGTTGGCGATGTACAGCTTTGCTTTAATGATATCCCATCTTTTTGTCGTTTAAATGGTTCTTTTTTAACGCTGTTACACGTTTTAAGTGAAGCCCATTCATCATTCAACTGATGTATAAGTGAGAATTTATCATTTAATTTTCCTGGAACTTGATGCTTTGGCGAATGTTTTGGTTCTTGACCCCCTCGAGTACGAGATGTAGTATTGGATTTTATATCGGCGGCAGGCAAAACAAGGACGCTTGCCACTGAACCTTCAGATTTTTTACGTTCAAGATCTGCTACGATCTTACCGTCTGCAGGTCTTTTCTGCAATGCGGTAACTTTCTCTCCTTTCGACTTGAAGAAACTCATTGGTAGAGATACTTCGTTAGAAGGTTTGTGTTGCATATCTTCAAGACCCGCATCTTTATTGTAAAACTCAATAGCAGTATGTGAAGTTTTATTCTTTTTTTCGCTTTTCGACTTTGCCCGATCTTTTCGTGCGTTTTGTATTATATCGTGTTGCTTAGTTAGAGAAACTTCGCTAAATCCGGCCATCATTTCTTGGGGATAATTTCGGCCAACAGGACGGATGTAATTCTTGGCGCTTTTCAATTTTAATGTTTGAACCGATGTTACCGTTTCAGAGTCGTCTTCGTTTTCGGTGAAGAGATCGTAATCAGTTTCAATCTCTTCGCTATATGGCACTTCATTTCTTCGTTTATTACGAAGACCCTGACGTATTTCTTGCACTACACTAGCGCTGAACTGATCTACGGGACAAGTGTATCCAGTGCAATCGTTTTCCAATGAATTTGACTTGATTTTCTTAACTTTTGCTAAATTTTGAGGAGGCGATCGTGTTTTTGGCTCTATTCGGGTGATATCATCTGAAGACTCTCTTAAATTTTCGACCGGTTTCATTATCCAATCGAATGAATCATTCGACTTCCGACCGCTGAGATAATTTTTTGATTTTTTGTAACTTTGACGGAATCTCTCAAGCAATGTATTACGTCCCCAATTTATAGGCAGACAACCACCTTTCGATCTCAACGGTAACATTTTTTTATCTTGTCTCTCCGTTTCTTCTGTTTGTGACGTTTTCAAACGAAAAATAGAACCATCTCTATCATCTTTTCTTTTCTGGCCGCTAGGGCTTCGATGCTTCTTTTGCCATTGACACGTGCACAGCAGTTTATTCCCCCTACCAGCGCCGCAAACGTTGCACTCGCATTGCCCAATCATTCGCAAATGCGATACGTCGTTCAAACGTATCGGTTTCTCCTCGCGATAAATTTTCTGTATTTTTCCTGCTATCTTATTATGGGGACACAAAACATTTTCGTCAAGTATGATTTGCTTTTCAACTGTAAATTTAGACATAACCAAAAATTTTTGTCTGACTTGTGGTTGTATTATTTAGGTCTTTTTTGCGTTAAATTTAGTTTTGTTGAGAACCGTCAAAGTTTACCAAGTTAAATGAACAGAGAAAAACAAATAAAAAAGGATTGGGATTTTGTTCGGCATTGCCAGAAATTATGATTTTCCAAATGTATGAATGCGTGACTTTTGTTTTTTTTTTTACATTTTCTGTTTTCGTTTACAATAGTCTTGCTGTCGCCTTAACTCTTCCCGATTCAAAAAAAAAAAAATTAAATATATATACAGTAACAAACCCATTACTTTTGTCTCTTCCTCATATATGACAGCTCTTGAAATATCGATCAGCTATAAAAAACAAGACTATCATCTACACATATCTTTGTCTCATACATCGTATTTTATATGCAGTTGGAAACGCTTGCTATGTGGCCTTTGTCTTGCGAAATTACATATGCCAAATTCCGCCAATCCTTCGCGAAAACGTCGCACAAGTTATAATGTCAGACAGTAGAGGAAAAAATGTATGCTTTCTATTTCCGAAAAATATTACAAAAAAAAAAAAAAAGAAAAAATGAAACGCGGAAAAAATGCCACAAATAAAGCGATATTAATAGTTGTCTTTTCACTGCGGAGATTTTGACCGTCCAGATTTTGCTTTGATTAACCAGTCGCGGTTGGGATTGAAGAAATTAAGGATCTAATCTTTTTTCGCCATTTCGGCATTTGATGACTAAATAGGTCAGGTATCGACTCGATTTATTACCTTTTCTCTGCGATCGCATCGATATAAATACTTATGGCATTTCAATAAAGCGAATGCGAATGTACTTTATTCCTTCTTGGTTCCATAATTTTGACTTTTCATTACTAATATCTTGATTATATTTTCAACGGAATTAAACTATGCTCAGTTATAAACAGAAATTTTGAGTTTAAAAATGATTCAAATTTTATTTTCTACAAGAATTCGAACCCAACGTCAATTTCATCCTAACATGTACACATATATAAGACGTTTGTGAAATCATGGCAATGTTTGTTAGAAACGGCGCGCTTGATAACAAACTTGCATTGCGCTTTACAGAAACAATATCTTTATAATAAATACAATTTCTTATACACATGTTTATCGACTCTTTTTTTAGCATTTTTTCGCTTGTAATTCTATTCGACAAGTTCTGGTATAATTGGCGGTCGAAAATAAATGACGGTGCGTCGCAGTAATGTAACGTATTTGGCAAGTCCCCTCCTGTAAACGATATCATTAAGAGGATGACGCACAGGGGTTGGTTTACGAAAATTATACATTTTATAAGTAGGCAAATAGATGGGTGGTTCAAAGAAAATGTCTAGTAGAGATAGCGCGACGTTTAGGTTTCCTTTGGTGACCAGGTCGTCAATGGTTCGCATCAGTTCTTGTCGAGTAGCTACTGTCATTTGCGGTGTGACGGCGGTATCTAGTAAATCTCTAAGTATATCAAGTTGGTCATCATTAAGTAAGCCCCTATAAAACATATCCATCAAATAAGCCCTGGCTGAACGTTTCTCCATGCCGGACAGTTTATATAATAGAGAATTAAAGTCCCTGGGCTTAAAGGAACCTTTAGAACCGAAAAATCGTGATCTGATACGAGGTTCTCTCCAACCTTGTTGTTTTTTTATTTTCTCAAGTATATCTCGCCATAACGATTTCATAGGTGCTAATCCGTCTTCGTCTTCTTCTCTTTCATCATCCCAACGATTCAGAGCATAAATTTGATTCATCCACTCATCTACCACAGCTTCTTCATCAAAAGCTTCTAAGTCTGATACTTCATGTATTCCTCCAACTTCCGAACTTTCGCCTAAAGGTTGTCGAACTTTCATTTGTGATCCCCGCTGACCAACAAGAGGGGATATGCCAGTTAGAGATAACTTATGTTTCTTTGGGCCTTGTGGTTTAAAATCTAATTTCGATTCTTCTATACCTTCTCTATCTGCTTTGTCTACTTTAGTAGGTCTCTTCATCGAAAAAACGGTTGCCGTTCGTGCTAAAGTTCTATCTAATGATTCCGAGCTTTCAGGTCTTTTCTTAGCTTTTCTTTTTAACTTCAACATTTTCGCAGCTTGTTGTGGTACTGGAATTGGTGTAGGCATTGCACTTTTCGTCGGTATTTGAGTTACCATTGGTTTTTCAGTAGTCGCAACTGCTGTCGTTGGTGTGCCAGTTGCCTCTTGCCTTTCGGCCACTGCAGCTGTTTCGGTTGTCGTTGGTGTTTCAGTTTTCGCTGCAAATGGAAGTCCGGTTGCAATTGCAACTGGAGGAACTGTTCCAAATGGGGTTGCAGTTGCAACGGGAGTTGCAGTTGCAACGGGAGCTGCAGTTGCAATTGGGACTGCAGTTGCAATCGGGGTTTCAGTTCCGACTGGGATAGCAATTGCAGTTGGAGTTACAATTGCACTTGACATTGGCTCTGCTGCTTCCATAGGAGTGGTGATTTCCGATGATTTTGAAGGTGTGGTTGGTGTGACAATTGCTGTTGGTGTTATACTTTCTGTTGGTGTAGTAATTGATGATGGTTCCGCAGTTTCTATTGGTGTCACAGTTTCCTTTGGCGTTG